CTTCGCGATATCGCGTATCGACGCGCTATAATTGCAGCAGCGCTCTGACCCTACAGATGCGAACGCATCCGCAGACGAGAACCAATCGGTGTCGGTCTTTCGTACTTTGAGAGAGCATAGGATGACAGGGATGCAGGCGCTGCCTTCGCAGGAATTGGTACCCTTCCCTTCTTCTGACTCTCCCAGAGCCAGAGCGACCAGTGCCGATCGATACCAGATTACGTTATTAGACAGCGCGTACAATTCTGTTTCCCATACTCTCTCAACACACAAGCGGCCAACGTAGATCGTTTCCTGACAGCGGCTGCTTCGCTTATATAGCATCAGAGCGTTCAATTGCAGCGCGTCGGCGCACGTTGCAGCGCGTCATGAGAAGTAAGAGCGCTATCTCTGATGACACATTTGATCATATCCCATTTCTCTACAGCAGACCATCACCACATCTGCGACAATTTCTCTTTTAGAGCTACTTTTACAACGTAGCTTAACTTACAATATTCCACGGCACCTTCGTCAAAACCACAATGCCGAAATGAGATCGTTTTGACATTCTTCAATCTGTCGTTGACAAAGCGAAGAAGATCAGCTGTCACAATCAACTGGAGGAAACTAGTTGAATTTGAACAATCAAAAAAAATCTTATCATGAGACACACAATTGGAGTTCCACTTGCAGTCTTATTTGCTGCGGATGAAGGGGCGTGTCAGGACGAGATGGTCTGGCCAAGCCCATTTCTCACCAGCTGTTAAAGCGAGCAACAACAAGACTACGTCGTCGTCTACCATGTCGTTAGGATCAGCTGTTTACCACAGATTGTTGGCGCTTATCCGCTTCAAGAACTGCTGGAGAACAGGCTTGGCGCCGCGTCAGATCCATCACGCCTGACACGCCCCTTCGTCCGTAGCGAATAAGACTATATCCAACTCGTGAGGCACAAAACCTTCACAAGTTACAATTGAGAAGTTTACAATGAGGAAAGAAAATCTGAGCCATGATCGCTTATTGTCGTGGTGAAAGGCCATTAGCCTCGAACTTGAGCCTCAGTCTTTTTGATCTTACCTGGTGGTTCTGAACTCCTGTACTAAAAAGATCTACTCCACCGAGTGTGACGTTTTTGATTCCCAAGGCAAATCGCTCTGCCATACCATATAGAGTATTCACTGCAACAGAAACACATTTGTGAAGAGAATGCCTCGGACAGAAGAACGAGAGGAACGCAAATACAACTCACTCAGTTTCAAAGGTTGCGTCGTACAACGTCCACTACTGCTTTCTCTTCTATTGTCTAAAGTTGTAGATGGCAAAACAAACCAAACGTCACCAATCTCCACCGATATGTATGAATTTAAAGTCTGTAAAATGATTACTCTTTGTTGAACTTGCTCCCTGTCCAGTTGACAATATTGCAATTACATTGTGTGGCTATTGCTTGGCTTCTGTTTCAAATTTTCCTTTCCCAGCTCTGTATCGTCACTCAAGCAACGCCATGGCGTGTCTAAAGCGGCGTTCAGGCTCCATGATCTGGCCTTTAATATTGAGAGAATATAGGGAAACAGGAGAGTGCCAGTCTGTGCGCTAGTGTTTTAGGAGAGCGGGAGAACATGCGAGTCTTGAACGGTGCGGATGGAAGAGCGTGTCAGGCGCGCGATGAATTTGGCGCGGCGCCAGACCCGTTTTCCACCGACACTTTTGGACTGTACAAGTGACAAGACTGCATCATATCGTTAACATCACTCATTTTTTACCGTTTGTTGCCACTTAGCCGCTTCAATTAATGTTAGGGAACGGGTTCGCCGCGCCAAACCCATCCCACCTGACACTCATTCACCCACAGCGAACGAGACTGTACCAGCAGAGTACTGAAAGCGCAACGGAAGCATAGGGCCGCGTTCATATCTAGCGTCAGCCTACGCCGGCATACCTCAGCGCCAGCAGCTAGGGAAGTAAAGATATTGATCTAGCGAAGCCAGCGTACGCTTAATCGATATCCATACTTTCCTAGACGCTGCTGAACGCTGGCGGGCGCTAGAACGATACCCATACTTTCCTAGTCCCTGGCGTGACGTACGCCGGCGTACTGACCAAAGCGTGAACACAGCCTAACTCACCTTAAAGCTGAGTGTGAGGGTTTCACCTCCTGATCTGAATCTCCATATAGATGTCTTACTTATATATCGAAGCCTCGACGAGCTCATCTCTATGTGAATTCTATCCTGAAATAATGGAAAGCAGAGTGAGAAATCAATAAATAAACAAGAAAGCTACAAAGGCTATTTAGAACACACATCAAAGGACACCAGAAAAAAATCGAAGGACAACCAAACAAGAAAGCGAACTCACATTGATATCTGTCACAAAGCTAACTATATGTCGCATAAGCAGATCATTGTTGTAAACCTCGGCAATGACATTAGCATTAGTTATGTGGGAATTATCAACATTCTTTGACTGTATTGCACTGCGACGGGCATTGCCTGAAAAGCTCATTCATTAGGTCAAAGTCCGAACACCAACACA